CGGGAGCGGCTCCGAGCGCGGCTGCGGCTCCCCGGGGCTCCGGGGGCTCCGTGCCCTGCCCGGGGCGGTTCCTCCCTCGTTTGCTCCCCAGCCCTGGCCCAAGGGCTTGTGCTCCGGCTGCTCTCCCGGCCTTTCCCTGCTCCGCAGGGCAGCTCCGCAAGGGGCCTTGTCTCCTCAAATCACTGGCACTGCCAGAGCCCTCCCCGGCCTAGAGCCGGGCGCCGTCGGTGCTGCGGGTAGAGCCGGGGGTCCCGCAGGCTCCGCTGCCCCCCAGGCCCTGCTGCTCCTCAAATCTGGGCCGTGCGGCTGCTTCCCACCGGGCCCAGTGTCCCATGTGCAGAGGGCTTCTGTTCCGGGGGTTTTGCTTGGTTTGCCTGTTTGTTTTCCACTGTCTCCGTGTTTCTTCAGGGTGAAAAGGAGGAAGATGGCTGACAAGGTCCTGCCACAGAGGGTGAGTGCTGCTTGGCGGGCTGGGCGGCAGGGAACCCAGCTCCTGGAAGGAGATGGTGCCTCTGCGTGGTCTGCCCTGGCGCCCTGGGACGGCCAGATCCCTGTTTGAGCAAGGGCTCCCTGGGTTTGAGCAAGGGCTCCATGGGTTTTGGACCTGCTCAGTCCCGAACTGACCTGGGAGATTCTGTGCACGGCTGCTGGGCCCTGCCGGGGGGCCTGGGGTAGCAGGAGAGGTTCCGAGTGTGCACGGGTTGTGCGGGGTAGACAAGGATCAGCAATGCCTTGGAGCGGAGAGCCCAGGGAGCCCCTGAGCCTCTGGGTCCCTCTTGGCACCCTGGGGATACGTGGATCCGTCTGCGTCACTGCGCAGACTGCGGGACACGGGGCTCCAAGCTGTGCTCCGCAGCGCAGCTCCTGCTTTGAGGAAAGCTGTGCAGAGGGGTGATCCCAGCACGTGAGAGTGACCATCTCCGTTTGACAGATCCGGGAGCTGGTCCCAGAGTCCCAGGCTTACATGGACCTCCTCGCCTTTGAGCGCAAACTGGACCAAACCATCGCTCGGAAGAGGATGGAGATTCAGGAGGCCATTAAGAAGCCGCTGACGGTGCGTGGCAGGCGAGGGGAGGGCCCTGCCGGGTGGCTGCGGCCCTGGGGACTCAGCCCCTCACTCCGGGCACCCCTTGCTGCTTTCTTTGTTCACAGCAAAAGCGGAAGCTGAGGATTTACATCTCCAACACCTTCACCCCAGCCAAAGAAGAAGGGGAGGGCGGGGAGCGCGTGGCCTCCTGGGAGCTGCGTGTGGAGGGGAAATTGCTGGAGGACGTAAGGACCTGGCTTGGGACGGGGGGTAGGGGCTGCTGGCCGCCTGTGGGATGGTTCGTGAGAGCCCTGGGGGGCTCCATCCAGCCCCTGAGCCCCCCAGGGCTCTGGGCTGGAGCCCTGCGTGTCTGGCAGGGTCAGACCCGGCCTCTCCTGCTCTGTCGTGCAGCCGAGCAAGCAGAAGAGGAAGTTCTCCTCCTTTTTCAAGAGCCTCGTCATCGAGCTGGACAAGGAGCTGTATGGGCCAGACAACCACCTGGTGGAGGTGAGATGCCCCACGCGGGTGCTGCTGCTGCCCCGTGGGCGCCTGCGCTCGCTGTTGTGCTGGGGGGAGTTCAAGCACTCTGTGAGCTGAGCACTGTCCCCGTGGCCTCTTGCAGTGGCACCGGCTGCCCACAACGCAGGAGACCGATGGCTTCCAAGTGAAGCGTCCTGGCGACGTCAATGTGAAGTGCACCCTGCTGCTCATGCTGGATCACCAGGTAGGGCCCGGGGCCGCGCGGGCGCTGGTTGTGCCCTGCTGTCCTTCCCGCACGGCCTCGTGCCAAACGAGGGCTGTGCAGGGTGAGCCCCGCCGGGTCGTGCTGATGTCCCGTGTGTCCCCGCAGCCCCCGCAGTACAAACTGGACCCTCGCCTGGCCCGCCTGCTCGGGGTGCACACCCAGACCCGCGCCAGCATCATGCAGGCGCTCTGGCTCTACATCAAGCACAACAAGCTGCAGGACAGTCACGAGAAGGAGTACATCAACTGCAACCGCTACTTCCGCCAGGTCAGAGCCCACGCGCCGCGCGCCCTCCTGGCCCTCGGCTTCTTGCTCCCTCACAGACTCGGTCTGAACTTCCCCCTCCTTCAAGGAATATTTGGGGTCTTTCTTAGCTTGAAACAGGCACCCAGACTACCCAGTCTGCAATTTAGGCCCCCCTTCCGTGGGCCCTGGCTTGCATCCAGGAGCTTACCGTGGATAAGTTGGGATTGGGCAAGTTCTCCCGCTCCTGCGTGGTGCTTTTCCCGGCGGGTTGGAGGACCCTGGCACGGGCAGCTAACACCCTGCTGGGCCTCTGCAGATCTTCAACTGCGTCCGCATGCGCTTCTCGGAGATCCCCATGAAGCTGGCAGGGCTCCTGCAGCACCCAGATCCCATCATCATCAACCACACCATCAGGTAGGGACGACAGGCCGTGCTGCGCAGGGTTCCGGGTCGGTGGCCTCTGTCACCCCGGGGTGGGCTGGACCCCGCGGTGGCCCTGGGCCTGGGGGGCTTGTGTGAGGCCTCCAGCCCAAAGCAGCGCTGAGCACTGGTC